TCATGCTACCCTTTACATTCCTAGTGGGTGGATTAGAAATGTACAAAATACAATTTCAGGGAATGAAATTTTAGGTGAATTTTAATGGAGAATTTCTGAGAAAAGGTTTCCAAAGAAAGCTTTCTTGTTCTTAACAAAGAAGTATGAAAAAAGTGTACTTTCTCCTCCTTAACTGTAGCCACATTTAAAAAAAATATAATTTAGTCGTACAAAGGAGTTGCCTTTCAACAGAGTAGTTTATGAAATTCAGTGCCTCTTGATCAATGTCACCCCTTTTAACATTCTCACCCATGTGGCTATATTTTTTATCACATGGTGGATGCTCTTTAAAAAACTTGCTCACACAGAGGATGTCAGGCTAATAAGCACGGGAAGTTGGATTCATGATGAGGGAGAGAAGATTGCCCAGTTGTCAGACTTGCTTTGAGAAATGATAACTTCCTTATGGTTTTCACTAGTTTGGATCAAGGTTTTGGTTTCTGTACTCCAGAGCAGCTAAACTAGCATATAACCAATAATAGAACTGTTCTAATAGCTTCTCTTTATTTGGACATTCTTCTTATTAATATGTAAACTATAGAAGAAATCTCTTTGATAATTGTTCTGCATTTTTGAACAAAACATTTTAAAATTTGATGTAAGTTTAGACATCATAAATTAATGCATAGTGGATGTGCTGAAGGTGGGTAACAGAGGTAATGAGATATTGTCCCTAGTCCTTTGGGCTGCTGGAAACTTCCCAGTGGTCATTCTTGTAGAGCTGCTGCTTTTTTTTAATTTTTGTTCAAGACTGCTGTGTAAAAAATGTTTCCAAATGGGTATGCTGAACAAATATATTGTTTATTGCTTACTTCACACCAGTTAGACCAGTTACTACTGATAAATTTATACATGATATTGAGTATTCATAGTGAATGGAATGGCCTCCTAGTAATTTCATGCTAGCTGTGTTTTTTTCCCTTGAATACAAATCCTTTAATAGACAGTTTAATTGACCCTATACTGACAAGAAAGTTGGGGGAGGGGAGCAGCAATGTTTAGGGCCAGTTCATGCTGGTCCCCAGACTGTGAGTCATCTGTTCAATGTGAAGTGTAAATTAGCAGATCCACAGAAGACCAAGTTTTTTATTTTGATAAAAAAGTCCCTATCTTTATCAAATATATACTAATTATGTATATATAATAAGGTAAAGTATTTCACTATGCATACTTTCAATCAGGATATTTGATGTTCTCAATTCCTCATTACTTCGTAATTTTCAGCTTTTGCACTCCTGTCTTCAATTTATACATAAATATACAATATTTATACATAAAATAAACAATATTCACTGTAGGCCACTGGAACTCATTGCTTCTATTGAATGTGACTTGGTACCATTATCCAGTCTCTCTTCATGTCCCATCTCCCACCCTTCACTTAACCAATCACTGGTAAACATTCAGATTGACTATTGACTATGCTTGTGTATGACAGAACACATGGTATCTGTCATTCTTCACCTGACTTGTTCACATCACACAATGCCCCTAGTTCCATTCATTTTGCTAAATGTTCAAGCCCCCATCTTGGGGCTTGAACTCTCAGCCTGGATGCTGTCCTTGCTCTTTTTACTCAAAGCTAGAGACACAGCTTCACTTCGTGTGTGTGTGTGTGTGTGTGTGTGTGTGTGTGGTGTTTCATTGGAGGTAAGAATCTCATGGACTTTCCCATACAGGCTTTGATCCATGATCCTAAGATGTCAGTCTCCCAAGTAGTTAAGATTACAGTCAAGTCAGGCACCGGTGGCTCAATCCTAGCTATTCAGGAAGCTGAGATTTGAGGATTATGGTTCAAAGCCAGCCCGGGTAGGAAACTCCATGAGACTCTTAATTGCCAGTTAACCACCAGAAAACCAGAAGTGGTGCTATGGCTCAAGTGGTAGAGTGCTCACCTTGAACTGAAATGCTGAGAGACAGCACCTAGGCCCAGAGGTCAAGCACCATGACTGACAAAAAAAAAAAAAAAAAAGAAAGAAAAGAAAAAGAAAAGTTTACAGTCATGAGCCACCAGCACCTGTCATGGTGCATTTTTTCTTTATAAACAAATGGTGTTTGTTATTTTTCCTTTCATTGCTATTTGTTATACATTTGAATCCAAACGTTACAATAGTATTCAACAATGATCCTGAAAACTATAGATGGGTGTGGGGGATAATGTCACCTTTCTGTTGATTATATTGACTTTGTAATAATTTAAAGTATCATGACTTTAATCTAAAGTGGAAGTTAGAAACTGGATTTTACAAATGAAACTGTTTAATATTCTTCCCTCAATAAGGCTTCACAAAGTCAAATATTAAGATAGTATCAAGCATAAAGGAAATTCTTTATCATTTCTTTGAGGGTAGGGAGTCTCTGAAACATATTTGTTTTGTTTACTCTTTTATCTCCAATATAAAAACCATGAGTCTTTTAAATGGTCCTCAATGTCTTTGTGTATGTGGGAATAGTAGGGATGAGAGGGAAGAAGTTGGCAAAGAAATTGTATTTCTATCACAGAAATCTCAGATACGCATCTTTATCCACCTGTATTTGCTAATGCTAATTGTGAAGCACTTTCACCAGAAATCTTCAGAGCTGAAGCATTTAAACACAAGATAACGTGTTTCGCACTTAAAAGCATGACAGACTGTAGCTTACAGGTGAGGAGAAGTGATTTAACAAGCTATGGAGTTTTAAATATCTTGGATACTAAGTGCTTCAGTTGAAAAAAAATAACATGACCTCAAATAATAAGAGTTTCTTATCTAAGCAATAAAATGTGAGAGTCTATTTGAACAAAGCCCAAGTTGTTTGTTTTTGTTTTTTTGATACCATATGATATTTGGGCATCCATACACTAGCCCTGTGCTTTACTTTCTTAGAGTCTGAAATCCCCCTATATATCGATGGGGGCCAGCGGAAGGGTGCCCATTACCTTTCACCAGTGGAAAGAGGAATCAGAAGACAGAACAGAAAACAAACCAATTAATCATTCCTTGAAAGGGGTGGTTGTAACATGGACAGGGAATTAGGACTCTTAATGTCACCATACCCATGCCCGTGCTCACTCAAAGTATTCACTGCATAAATTTCTAGGATCAGGATATAGTCTTTCCCCTCCCAAAGTAATTATCTGTCCTTCCCAAATTTGTGTTCTTGAGAAGACTGATAAATTAAACGACAAATCCCAAGCATTGTTTCCGTTAGGAGTGCTGTGAAGAAAACAAAAGCAGGACCAAGTCTTGGCAGCATGGACTATGTACGTGTGAGGCTATTTTAGATGTGTGGTCAGAGAAGGCTTCTCTGCAGAGGTGACTTGGGCTGAGACCTGAATGGCAAGGAGAAACCAGCAAGAACACTCTGCAGAAGGGCAGCTCTTGGGCGAGGAGGCTGCGCTAGCAAGGTAACGTGGGACGGGCCCTGGCGACTTCCAGGAACAGCATGAAGGCCTCTGCGGCTATGGCTTGGTAAACATGTGGATGAGCTCCTAGAGTGTAGGTACTCATTCTTGCTTGTATTCAAAGTGCGGTGGGTATTCATGGAAAGTTTCAAAGCAGGAGTGGGAAGTAACGGATGCAAGACAATGGACATTTTACACGACGAGATTGCAATTTGGAGTCTTTGAACCTAATGTCTACCTCCCCGTGTTGGTCAAACAAGATCTTGGCCATCTCTGTTTGCCCAGGATGTTTGCGCACGCCGAGACTTGTTTGCACCCGACACCCTGCTTGCTGACGGCCTCGGAGGAGCTTGTGACAGTTGGCAGGCGCCCAGTGGCGCTGCTGGGCCAGCCAAGTGGCGGCCGGCCGGGGCCAGGGCTGAACAGGCGCGGGGGGGGGGGGGGGGGGGGGGGGGGGGAGAAGAGGCGCAAGGGCTGCGGGCCGGGTGGGAGGAAGCCTCCTCCGCCAGGGTGGTAGCGAGGCTCTCCTCGAGGAAGGCGGCGGCGGCCTCCGAAGAGCCTTCCACCGAGCTCACGCGCGGCCCCAGGAGGTTCGGTCTCCAGGCTGGCCGGGGTTGCCCCGACCTGGCGCCGTAAACAATAGGGCTTCGTGGCTGGAGGCAGCCATCCGAGCGGCTGGCCGGGAGCGAAGCTGCAAAGACGAAGGGAGCTGCTGGAGCCCGGCCCCGCCGAGCCGGGCTGGGAGCCCAGCTTCAACACCCGCAGGGAACTGCAGGTGTCCATTTGGGACTGGGGTCAGGTGGGCCTCTACCCCACATGCTGCAGCGCCCCGTCCGGGTGGTCCGGGTCGGGCGATCCGGCCCCGGGTTTTGCTCTCCGCCCGTATCTACAGGCCGCGCCCGGAGTGGGGTGCGGCGCGCGGTACCCAGGCGCGGGGGGGGGGGGGGGGGGGGGAACCCGAGGGAGGCCCCGCCCCGTCCATCGCCACCCCTCCCCCCCCCCGCCCCTCGGACCCCTTTGCTTCCCTAGGGCAGCCCGATCCAAACACACACGGAGCTTGGAGGGCGAGGGGTCCGGACCTCAGCCCCGCCAACCCACGCTTCGCCGCCCGGGAAGCGACTGTGGCCGTCGCAGGTTCCAGCTGCGCGCACGGAAGGCGACGTCGGGGGGCGCCGCGGAGAGGCCTCTCCCCCACGCCCCCCGGATTTAATGCACAGCGGGCCACGGGCGGCGCGGTGTGACTCCAGAGCGTCCGGGCGGGGACGGGGTTCTTCCTGCGCGGCGTCGGCGTGGTGCGGACCGGCGGGACGCAGCGGGCGCACGCAGGGGCTCAAACGGTAGAGCGCGGCGCGCGGCAGCGGAGCGCCCGGGCGCCGAGAGGGGCGGGGCGCCCCAAGCCCCGCCCCGGACACGCCCCCATCCCCATAGCTCTTCCCCCTCCCCCCCCCCCACCCCCCCCCCCCCCCGGCCTCCTAATTTGGCTGGGATTGAGCGGCTTTTCGCGCTCCGGCCTTCTTGGCTCCTTCTGCTGCAGTCGTGAAAACCCGGAACGACGGAGTCGCCGAAGGGCGGAGCGGCGTCGCCCCTCGCCGCACCTCCCCGGCAGCCCTCCCAGGCCGCGCTGGGCATGCTCAGTCGGCAGGGCCGCTTCAGCTCTCGGAGTAGGAAGCCTGGGCGCTCGGGTAGAGAGGAGCCGCGGCGGGGTAAAGATGGAGCCCTTCACCAATGGTGAGTGGGCGCCCCGGCACCCGGGTTCCAGGGCTCTCGCGGCCCGGGGGGGGGGGGGGTCTTGGACAGCAGTGACCAGCGGGGCTGGAGGATGCAGGCGCCCCCGCCGCGAGCTTCCCCCGAGAACTGGGGTGGGGGCGGCGGAGGGAGGCATCGGTGGGGGGGCCCAGGTGGGTGGGTGAGGGGTCGGCCGGGCCCCGCGCGGCCGGGGGCTGGCGTGAAGGTCAGTGGCGGCGCCCCGCCGCCGGGACCCGGCACCGCTGCGCTGCCAGGTGAGCGGACCACAAAGTTTGGGCTGCGTGCGCACCAGAGGGGGCAAGAGGAAAAGTTGGCAGCCTCGTGGGCTCCTGGAGGAGGTGTCGGCCCCGACTGGGCCGAGGGGGATTCATTACCAACTTGTGTGCCCCGGGAGCTGTCCCCCTGCCTTTCACCGAGTTGCCAGCGTGACTTTCCGTAATAGGGCGGGGTGGGGTGCGGGATTTGGCCCGGTTATTGCGGGGAGGGGGTGGGGTGGGAAGAGGAACTTACCGAAAGGCGGGGTTGGCCCCGGGTCCTGGCGACCGAGGTGCCCTCCCCTGGTCAGTGGCGGGGCCACTCAGCAGGGTTAGCGAGTCTTCTCACCGCCCCTGATCACATCTGGTTTTCAGTCAATCCAGGGCCCCCAGCAGGGTGAGATCACAATGTGACAGGAGGCCAGAGTCAAAGCTGGCGCCTGCACCCTGAAAACAGCCTTGGCCCTTTACTGTAAGGAGAGACCCAAATCCCCACCTAGTTAAAACGATGGCTTTTGTTTGGACCAGAATTGCGGGAGTCACAATTTAGGGGTGAGATTTATTACTATTTTTGCGGTGTATTGAGTCTATGCGTTCTTCTTTACGATAGAAAGTGGGAAACATGCGAATGAAAGAGGCTACATGCAAAACTTAGGAATTTATTGTCAATATGCCTTTCTCTGTGGGTGGTTGGTTACTTCAGGTAGGTAGAATATCTCCATAATGGGAAGCAGTCTGTGCCCTAGGTGGGGTGGGTTTACCTCTAAAAGACTGAGACTTTGCCTACTACTGTAGTGGACAGACTTGGTTCTGTGTTGCAATTCAATGATGAGACTGTAAACTACTCATTATAATCTTTTTGTCCCTAATTCAGCATGTTTTATTCTATAGCTGTTTTTCTAAATGTGCTGTTTAATTTGGCTTAATGACGACAACCTGAACTCTCTTTCTCATTCGGGTTCTATTTATAATTACTAAGACTCTTAAGAGTAGTTTGGTGAAGTTACTCAGAGAATTGGGAAGACTTGGACTGAAAAGTCAGACACCATAGAGACCATGTAGTACTTGAACGGGAAGTATGTTTAACACAGTTCTTAAATCCCTGCAAATGAACCACTCCAAAGCTTATTCATTGTTCTAGGCAGAATACTTGGGAGTTTCTGTGTTTGTAGGATTTTAAATGTGAAGTTTCACCCAATTCAGTAAAAAAAAAAAAAAAAATCTCCCCAACAGGGCTGAGTCACCCATGTGTGTGGTCTACATAGGAGTGCTGTTGGTTTGCTTACCCCTTCACCTAGCAGGGCTGTGGCACCACTGGCCACTAGGCATTATGAGGCCCAGTGAAAACATTTGGTTCCTGGTGGGACAGCATGCTTTTCATAGACTGCCCCTGGCTGTATGCCTGTATAGCTAATTTTGTATGGCCCTGGAATGATATAATATCCAAATGACCCTTTGGAGAAAAGTGACCCCACTTCTGACAACATTAAAGTGCATTCTCAGGTCTTAAAAATAGTCTTTATTTTCCTCTTATGGAATATGCTCCTGTAAATAAGAATACTTGCAAATTGTCACATTTGGCAGGACAGCAGAATCCGAGAGATGGTTTTTTAAAAAATAAGCAAATTTTTAAGTTTCATATAGGAGATTGGATTTCTAATCCTTTCCTATCTATTTTCCAGACTTTTCAAAATCCTTGCTGAAGACATACTGACAGTGTATCATTTTAGTTAATGTAGTAATCTTTTAACATGGAAAATAGAAACTGGAACATATAAAGTAGGCAAGATAGATGTTGATAATCTGAAGTGGTTTGAAGGTTTTAGATAGGTATTTACCTCAAAACTTTTTTTTAAAGGTTTACTGTAGAGTTTTCTAGTGTCTTCAAACAACATAGTATAATGGAAAGTATACTTATTTTTGTATGAAATCCTAAGTACAAAAATATTCACACAAAATTCTCCCATTGGTCCATGTGTTCTACGGCTGAATATTTTATCATCTTAGAATAGATGATTGAAAGATTTCTAAAAGCTCAGCATTGGCTTTTGTTCCACATTGCCCCTCTCTTTACCCAGTTAGACTTTTCTTGTGTATAGCCCTGTATATACAGAAAGATAAGGGATTTTAACAAGGACAGTTTTTATAATTCTGAACTGCATATCGTTCTGCTATAACGGTTTCATTATCTGACCTATACATTTGTAAGGGAAGATAACTTAGTTTCTGTTTTGTCATTCTGGCTTTCAGTACTCATCTATCTCATTAGGACTATTAGTTACTCATTTCCTATGAAAAGTTGCTGCTATGAGGCTATGTCTTAGTGCCAGGAATTGGCTCAGGAGATATTTTTGTCCTTGTCCTTTGGAGCGACTACTGACTATAAGACTGAAGACAGTACATTTGGACCTCTGGTGACTTTATTATGGGGGAGGGAAATGTGTTAGACTAATACTTAAGATTGGTTTCACAGGAACTAGTGTGTCCTGTGAGATAGACATAAATGAAACTTTGAAGAAGTAGTGACTTCTGTATTTTCCACCACAACAGAAAGATGATGGCAATTTTTAGCCAGAGGTACTAGATTAAGGCAAGTGTTAATATCTATTTACTTTTGTCCTCATTTGCATGCAGGGTTGAGATAATTCAGCATAACTGAAGTTCACATTAAGACATGCTAAAGCCTTAGCTCAATCCCCATTATCTGATTGAGAAAACCTGAGATTGGGCCCTGAAATCTGTAACTTCATTTTGAGGGTAGTAAAAGTATTCACTAGAAAGGAGTGTTTGGTAAGTTTATTAAGTAAACAAATTCAGGATTTGGGAGCCCAGCACTGAATAAATATCCTGATAGACACTTGCTGGTTTGTGATGTGATTTGAAATAAATTTAGAGATTAGAAAAACATTGATATTTTCATCCCAGAACTGAAAACATAGTTTGTCTTTTTTACGTCATTGTTTTTTTAAGAATAGAGACTTCATTTCTCTGTCTTAGTGCATAATGAAACAGGAGGTATTTTTTTTTGTCAAATGAAGTTGTGTTTGCTTTGTTTTGATAGATATCTGAAAGTATTTTCCAACTTACCAATGGCAACATATTAAATATTTTGGGGTAGTAAAGCAGTGTAAAATTGTGTTGTCATCTTTTTGTCTAATAAACAATGAATGTTTTTTATATATATATATATATATATATATATATATATATATTTCCAGAAAAAGAAATTGTCGTATTATCTCTCAAAAATGTGAACTTTCCGGGTGCTGGTGGCTCATTCCTGTAATCCTAGCTACTCAGGTGCCTGAGATCTGAGGATCGTGGTTCAAAGCCAGCCCCGGGCAGGAAAGTCCATGAGACTCTTATCTCCAGTTAATCACCAGAAAACAGGAAGTTACGCTGTAGCTGGCCTTGAGTTGAAGAGCTCAGGGACAATCCCTGGCACAGAGTTCAAGCCCCATGACTAACAAAAAAAAAAAAAAATGAGCTTATCGCATTTTATTTACAGATACATAAATAGACACACATATGCACCCCTCCATATATATATATCTATGTGTATATATATACATATATTTAATTTGTTTTGAGAGAGAATGTGAAGTGGAAGCCTGTAATTTCTCTGTAATGGCATATGAGTTGAATTTTGTTTTTGTTTTTGTATCTTAAGTTTTTCAGTTGGAAATAAGATACAAATGTTGATTTTTTTTTTTGGTTGGTTGTGGGGCTTGAACTCTGGGCTTGGGTGCTGTCCCTCAGCTCTTCAGCTCAAGGCTAGTACTCTACCACTTGAACCACAGCACCACCTCTGGCTTTTTCTGTTTATGTGGTACTGAGGAATCGAACCCAGGGCCTCAGGCATGCAAGGCAAGCACTCTACCACTGAGCCACCTTCCCAGCCCCAAGATACAAATGTTGAGATTTAGCATCATTACCAGTGTAGGTAACTAGAAACCAACCCATTCTTTATTAGAAAGTAGTAGCAAAAATCTTCTTTCCTATTACCCATTTTCAAAAAAGTGTCTTGAGATAGAATAGGAAACAGTGGATTTTAGTGATTATCATTGATTTGTACATGATCCTGTATCTGAAGGATACAGAACTATAAGGAAGTTATCATATAGAACAGAAGCCAGATTTCCTGCTGTGTAATTCAGTCAAACACCCACCTTTGAATGTTCATTTACAAGTAAATTTTCTGCTAGGCCTATTTACTCCACAAATTACTCCATGAATGTGTCATCACATAATCTTAGCTAAAGAGAAGAAATGCTTGGAAGAATTGAGTTTTGTTTTCATGCTAGTTTAAAAGTACAGAAATGCAGGAAGTGGTGCTGTGGCTCAAGTGGTAGAGTGCTCACCTTGAACTGAAGAGCTGAGGGACAGCGTCCTGGCCCAGAGTTCAAGCCCCACGACCAACAAAAAAAAAAAAAAAGAAATAAATAAAAGTACAGAAATGCAGAAGAAATAAAAAGCAGTACAACTTTGTCTATATTGTCTAGACTATTTGGCAATATTCTAGTTATGAAAGAATGTATAGAATTGTCTTTATATCCTTTTCATAGAATACTTGTCACCAATACACTGAGATTTATACTAATTTATGATAATATACCTATTAGGATATAGAGATATGGAAGCATTAAACCAAGATCACTCCAGACTTTGAGATAGAGATAGATTAGGCCTGTGAATCTTGGCAATTGAGGGGAGAAGGATGGTATAGCC